AAGGCAACGAGGCGAGTGAGTCCTACACCGATGAGTAAGAGCCTATCTGCCATTAAATATTTTGACTATCAACTGTGGTAAAAGTTCAGTTGAAAGCGTACGCTAACAGAACACTCGTTCGATTCGGATAGATTTCTGAGAAAAAGGTACCTTTAGACACATAAGGCGGCTTTGCATTCTCCAAACCGTTAGTGGGTTGCTAGTGGAGATGGGCGACCACCACTCACGTTACGAGGTGCACTCGTCACGTTTCTAAAAGACAAATATGAACGTGCCAAGACAAAGGAGGATAAAATGGCTAATTCTGACTTTTTAGTCGTCATCTGCTAGCCGCACATAACCTCAGGTCTGGCTGCCTCTGAAGCTCGAATTAGTAGCAGTTAATTGCTCTCACCATTGAGCTACAGGCTCTTCACTCATTCGTTTGCGTTAAGGAGCATAAACAGGACTTTATGGACAACAAGCCCATGGGCTCATGATTAGTGCTGTGGATTTCTAACCAACACGTCGAGACTTACAAAACGTGGAGTTGGATTTGACGGGCCAATGACGGCTCTAAAGCTAAAAATTGCCTTTCCGGTCTCTATCGTCTTCTTCGCTAAAGTAATTTTGCCCATATCATTAGCCGCTGTGTGGTAGTTGGCAAGGTTTCAGGGAGCCAGTTGCAAAGCAAGATGGAACGAGTGAGTCTTGTACCCCACCGGTGAGCGCCGATCTACCACTCAATACTTTGTCTATCAATGGTTATATAAGTTCAGTTGAAAAAGTACGCTAAAAAACCCTGTTTCGATTCGGATAGATTTCTGAAAAAATGAATCAGAGCTACCTAGGGCGAATTTAGATGCTTCTGACCATTCGTATGTTGCTAGTTGAGATGGACATCCGCCGATCGCGTTATAGGACAGAGTCATCAACTTATTGCAAGACAAGTAAGTACATGCAAGACAAAGGAGACTGGTATGGTCGTTTATGGTTTATTGGCCGTCATTTGCTAGCTCCGTACAACCGCAAGTCCTGCCATCCCTGAGGCAAGAATACGTGACCTGTCGGTTAAAAGTACAATGCCCTAACCATTGGCCACAGGCTCGTTTTCCGGTCGGCTGTGATTGGAAGTATTATAAGAATTATAGCAAACGAGCCGGCATACCACTGGTTAAGCAGCTGGATCTCTAACTAACGAG